TCAAGGTAATGATGAACAAGAAATGCCTAGAGACCAGGCTTGGCTGTTAGAGTCCAAAAAAAAAAACCAAAGAAAGAAAGAAAGAAAAAAGCCTCTACAAAAAAACACAGCTCCATATGCAGAAAGAAACTCTTATGCTTGTCACACATCAGATCAATCTATTAAGCTTTAACAGATACTTTATTAAAAAATCTTCTGCCAAACATCTTCACTTTTCCAGAGGTGGTAGAAACAATGTAAATTGCCTGGAACAAATGGAATACCGTAAACTTTTAAGAAGCACTAGTCCTCTCTCTCCTTAAATACACCATAGAAATAGGAATAACAACAGTGCAGAAGAATAACATGCCACAGAGGTGGTCATAATTCTTTCATGTGAAACATGCATAAAAAGCTATGTTAGTGATGAATACACAGGATCTGTAAATGTTTTGCACCAACTGAACCAATTAAAACTGGTTTAAACCTCACTCACCAGGTGGGAGAGCAGTAATGTGCGCTTCTGCTTAATGCACTGATAAGATGAGATGGCTCCCTCAGATTGTTCTGGAATACAGAATGGCCACACAGAGCTTCTGCAAATTTTGTTCAGAAAATTTTCAGGCTAGCACAGTCTCCGATGAGGTACCTGTTGCTGAGTGGCAATTCCAAGGCAAGGTAAAGACATATCTGGGCCATTACAGCTTAAATCTCTGAAAAATACAATGTGCAATAAATGACCTTTTATCTCTGGGTCTATTTGGTGCACTCTGCTAATGCAGTGATTTCTGAGGCCAGGTAACTAACTTCCTTAGCAGAACATTGGCATTTAGTTTCTTCTTCTCTTCTTGATGAATATGCAAATATCCCAAAGTTTTGTGCTTTTTCGACTGATTTCTAGTCAGTCTTAATTCTGAGCTGTGATGTGCGTGTGTATTTTATTTCAGATGATCAGTTATTGCAAAAAGTTTTGCTTTGTTTAGTTAAGTGGGGAAAGCAAAAGCATTGGTAAATGAATCAACTACTCAATCACAGGAGCTGGAATGATCTTATACAGTGTTCTAAACTTGCAATATTACAATGCCCCTTTGTCTGGATTTTTCTTCTGAAAAAAACATGGTATGATTTAGACACAGTTTTCATACAAATCACATACTCTAGCAACAAAAAAAAGCTTGATTTTTGTTATGAAATGGCTATAAATACAGACAGTGAATTATAACAGTAAAATATGTTATGCAAATTATAGCTAATTTTAAAGTAGCCTAATTTGACTGCTCATAGTGCAGGAAGAGAATTATATAGCATTGTTCAAATGCTCTGCTCATTTTTTACTCCTTCAAACCATTCTTCTTGCTTCCAGACGTTTAGTTTCAGCAAGCACGAGGAAAGGATTACTATGTTTAAAAATAGCAATGGGTGGATCAGTGAATAATTTCGAATTAGAGAATTTCCCTAATTAGCAATCCCCATTTAGCATCAGATGGGCAGGTAGCAATCACTTCTTTCCATACCCATCATGTTTCTGGTCCTTTTCTGTGACATTAAGCTGAGAGATCTATAAAGATAGCATTTGGCAGTATATTTTAAAGAGATTTGTTTTAAGATGAGTGTTTCTTGAGTGCAAGGCATCATAAGTGGCTTTAGCCTCCCAGCTGTGTTCCTCAGCAGATGGGACTGGCAAAAGCTGCATGTGATGTGACAGCACGGAATTAAGTTTGAAACAACACTTAAAGAAAAGGTTTGAAGAAGAAAACAAGGTCACTATCCATCTGATGGAAATCACACTGGATAGACATTTTTAGTGAGGGGGTCAATGAATTCTACTTAAGAAAAAAAAACAAATATTTGGACTGGCACGAGACAGTGCCTGGAAGCCATTTAAAGAGTACATTCAACTTTCACTCTCCTCTTCTTGCTGAGTCTGTCTTCTGCACTGGAAACATAGTGCTGTTACAAGGAGAGCTGTGGGAATACCCACCTGCCAGGAAAAATGTCTCATTTCTCTCCTTTTCCTCCAAAAAAAAGTCTAGGCAAGAGAGAGTTTAATTACACTAAATGCTAAGGTTGGAAAAGAAGATTAAGGAGGAGAACAAAGAAATTATATATTAAAAATCCTTTGGAAACCATCCAGAGCGTAATGCCAATCTCTGGCCTGAAAGCTGATGTCTATTAAAATCACAGGAGGCCTTATTGTCTCCTCTCTTTCTGTATGTAGAGAGGAGTGCCAGACAGGGGGTATGGAAAGAAAAGACACAGAGGGGGAAGCCAACTATGGAGCCTAGCATCATGAGCCTCCCCCCTCCCTGGCATTTTGTGATGGAATCCAGGGTTCAAATGACAAGGGTGTTCGAAGGGGGCTAATCCCCCCCCTTTCCCACCGCAAGAAATGAGAGCCCCCTGTAAGATCTGAAAATCATAACCTGGGGGGGGCGGTCTCTCCGATTTTATTTGGGCATTGTGATGGGTGGCCCAGTTTTTTTTGCAGACTCCCCCAAAAGTCAAAGCACAATCCCCCTTAGAGGGAGAGAGGTTGGGAGAGAGGTATAGATGAAGGAAAAGCACCCTCCTGTCACTGGTATGCAGCCCCCCCACTGAATTCTATATGACTTCAGCCTACAAAATTCTTTCCAGTGGACATGCAGGACCTGAGGGTTACATATAATTTCTGACTCCTCATACCTTTCAAGAACCATTTAGCCCCTTGAAATATTAACTGGAACCTCAATCAATTTTACAGCATTTTGGGGTCTTCCAGCCTCATCCCAGCAGGGTAACAGTATGGCCCATGAAATTTAATGTATTAAGGTAATTTTCAGGGGGAAAAAAAAGCTTATATCCTATGAAACAAGGCTTTCTACTCAGTACAGTTTGATAATCTGTTGAGAATTTTCTTGATCTCCAAGGGCGAGGCCTTTCTTTTACCTGTGAATATGTAAGCAGCTGGCATCATGGTTGCCCTAACCTGTTACAAGGAATACAATGTACTGTTCATAGCAGCTTTTCTGCCTTAAGTGTCTCTGCACGTCCACACCTAGCAACATGTCCATTGCAATTAACGTCCCTGGGCACGTATCACTAAGTAAAAAAAAAAAAAAGAGCCAGACACTATTCCACTTATTGGGTATGAAAGTGCAATCCTATTCTATCCTGTTCTACTCCCTGAAAAGCTGTTAATGCATAAAATATATGGCTTTTCCTTTTGCCTTTCACTTTTGGTTTTTAGTCTACAGGCTAAAATGAAAAGGTGCTACAAAAGTAGATGTATTCACAGTTTTTCAGGACTTGTGCCGAATGGAATAGGATTACATTTAGACACTTAGACATGTAATGGGATTAATAGGATTTGGCCCCAAACACTTTAAAATCTAATCCTTTGGAAAGGAACATTCAACTTTCCTACAAGAGGCAGGGGGAGGAAATGGAAAAAAGCAACAAACGTGGAGGATTAAGAAGAACCAAACGATTATATTAATGGCACTGTGGATTTCCCAATGGCTCCCGCTCCCAATTTGCCATGATGCCAAGTTGCCTGAGTTGCAAGAGATCTGACTGACTCATCCACCTGCGTAGTTTTTTGTACCAGTCTTCACATAATCATATTTGAATACCTGCACAATGAAAACTGATACAGAAATTGGACAGCTACATAGAACAGCTGTATTTGAGTGCACTTGCTAGCTCCTTGGGCTTGTTCACAGACACATAAACAGATTAACCAGTGGTAAATGAAGCAGTGAGCACGTGATACAAGTCCAAACATGATTTAACCACCCACCCTAACAAATTTAGCCCTGGGTGACTCAAGAGTTAAATTTGTTACTTTTTCTAATGTTTACCTAGCAACACACGGTTAGTTCATTTGTACGTGGCTGCCATAGGATGATTTCCCCTTATTTTTGCCTGGACCTTGGCCTCTCCATTTGTGTGCCCATAGTCTAGCACATGTACTTCGCCCAACTAGTTCAGTACTTCAGGTCTAATCGTTTTTCCTCTCCTCATGTCAGATCTCCTATGAAAAATTGTTACCTTTCTAATTTATTGGGAAATAGACTAAAAATTAAGAGCCACAGATCACATTATAAAATCCAGTTGCTGAATTAATAATGTTCATCAGTTCTTGCTGCTAGAGCCAGTACTTTTGTATTTTCTATTACATGGATTTTCATATTGTCAGTGGCAACTGTGTGCCACCATAGTTTCAAGGCATGGGATAGATTACTCTGGACAGGCTATAAGTAACCTTGGCTAGCTCTGTGGGGTTAATGCAGACAACTCCCAAATGTTGCATGGTTGTGCATTTTGCTTACATTTTTCATATGGGGAAGCTGTCCTTCCAGTGAGGTAGCAGAATCACTATCGTGCTTCCCTTGTCTGTGAGACGAACTGTTTGAATGTTACCACTCCCTTTCAGTCTTTTTTCAGCTGGGGCACTCTGCTCTTAGCCAGGGGGCTCCTATAAAAACATCCCTTTTATGTTGCAAGATTTTGTTTGTTTGGGGGGGGGGCGGGTTATTTCTTTGGGTAGCCAGGTATGTTTTTCCTCCTCCACCAATTATTACAATTCCTTAATCTTAGATTTAGCACCTGAGATACATATTCTGGAGATTAAATCTGGGCTGTACCTGTTAACTGCCACTGTAGATCTATCAGGTGCTTTTCATGGCAGTAGAATGTGTTACTGCTTTTATCTCATCAGCAGCAAGTGTTTCAAGGTTTCACCTTTTTTCAGTACAGGAAGAGGAAAAAGAAGTGGAGTTCCGTATAGCATAGATGCTTACCCTTTGATATTGCTATTTAAAATGGAAAGGCCTTATTATTTTTCAGTGTTATTAAACTAGTCATTTTAGGCCTTTCTATGCTTTTTTAACTAAGCTTCCCTTGAGCTCCAGGTAACTTGCACAGTCCAGGAGAGCAGGATGTACCCATTAATTTTCTTTTTTGCAATTTTCCTTTTCACATTATGCCTGAGATTGAAACCAAGCCTTGTTCCAGACCAGTAGCCTTGAATAGTGAGCTGGGGAGACAATTTTTCATAGAAATACCAAAAAAAAAAAAAAGGTGCATGCAAAATGACAGTAAAATGTAGTCTTGGAGCTTGCAATAGGGTTAACAGGAGTCCCTGTAAAGATACCTTGATAATATAGGTAGACAGAGCCTGCTACACTGTGTGGGTGGTGTATCCTTTGTAAGGAACATAGCTGCAAAGGTTCATTACCAATCTCACTTGCTTTATGCTCCTAAATTGCTACAAGTTGAAAAAAAATAATGGATCCACTGGCATTTAAGATCTTCAAGATATTTTGCTCTTCTCTTGGCTGGTGTCAGGGATAGCAGTAAATAAATTTTCTCATGCAAGATGGGGGGAGGGAGTTGACTTCAGCTCCATGTTGATTTATTTTAGTCCTGTGCTCAAGATCAAAAGTCTCTCTTCTTTAATTTCCCCGACTGGCTGTCCACATAAATTAAATACATCCTTCTAAAAGCACACACACAGCTGTGTCCTTTTACAATTTATTTCAGGTTCATTTTTCCCCCTCATTTCTTTTTAACAATCTCTCTCTCATTTTTTGCCTCAACGTTCATGTGCGTTTGCACACATGTATGCGCATACTTAGCACGAGTTTCCAGCCAGCAGTAATCTTTGTTAAAATTACCTGCAGCTCTTTTAGCACCTGCTTTGGTAGAAAAGCTGTTCCCAGAGTTAGTCACACAATTTGAGGTTTACTCTTCATCATATATCTAATGAGGTCTGGCAGGCAGGCTCATAATAAAAGCAGAATAAAGCTATGACTCTCAGCTGTGGGGGAGGTTTGGC